AATGTGGAGAGCATGGAGGAACCATCATTTTCACCAAAAGAACTGCTTTGTGAGCCTGGTGCGGATGGTGTTGAGACTGGACTATTCATTCACCCAGAATCACCGCAATTCAACTCCGATGATGATGAAGTTCCAGGAAATATGGCAGAAACTGACCCTCCTGCACACATGTATGAAGCTGATTATGGTGCAATGTACGGGCCAGAATTTGCCGATATGCCTCATCTCGGTGACTATGAATATTACTCATCAATAAATAATGGTGAGTTATATTTAGGCATGGAGTTTTCAAGCAAAGAAGAAGCGGTGATATGCCTCATCTCGGTGACTATGAATATTACTCATCAATAAATAATGGTGAGTTATATTTAGGCATGGAGTTTTCAAGCAAAGAAGAAGCGGTGATGGCTATAAAATATTACAATATCTGTAATTCTGTTCAGTCCAGATTCAATCGATCGACGACAGAAAAATATGTATGTTATTGTGCCCGACGCGAAAACAGATGTCATTGGATGGTTCGCGTATCGAAAATGAAGAGGAAAAACAACATATGAGAACTAACAGTATACAACGGTCCTCACACATGTTGTGCTGGAGGGGTCAACCAAGATCATCCCAACTTGGACTCTGAAATGATATACCAAGCCATCATGCCCATGGTAAAAACAAACTCTCATATAGCTGTTGCAGTGTTGATTTCAGCTATACAATCACAGTTTGGGTACATTGTCTCCTATAAAAAAGCTTGGTTGGCAAAACAAAATGTCATTGTCATGGCGAATGGGATGCATCTTACAACGAACTTCCAGGTTGGTTTAGGCTGGTGCGGACGTTGAATCCTGGGACAATTGTGGACTTCGAAACCTCCTATGCATACTATAATGATCGAGTTCTTCGCGATTGAATCCAATTCTACTGGGTTTTTTGGAGTTACCCACAGTGCGTTAATGCTGCCAAATACTTCAAGCATGTGGTCCAGATCGACGGGACTTTCTTGAATGGAAAATACAAGCAAGTTTTATTATTGGCAGTTGTCCAATATGGCAATCGCAACATTCTTCCAGTTGCTTTTGCTCTTGTCGAAGGAGAAGATACAAATTCTTGGGCTTTTTTCCTCCGAAAGTTACGTGCACATGTTATCACGAGGGAAAACATCTGTGTCATTTCAGATCGCGGAGCTGAGATCAAAGCACCAATGAAGTCTTTGGGTCCAATGTGACAACCACCCTTTGTCCAACATAGGTATTGTCTCCGACACATTGCTGTGAATTATCATGGAAGGCACAAGAAGAATGATGAGCGTCAATTAATTGTGCGCATGAGTAAGTGAAACTGATGTAGTTTGTTTTCTTTCAATCGTTTTAATTTTGCAAAGAAAGCAAGTTAGTAAGTTATACATTTTTTAATCAGGTTGCGAACTACTTCCTTGAACGTTTGAATCAATGTTTCAAGATTTGCGAGCGAAGAACGAGGAAGGATACGATTACATCAGCAACATCGATAAAGAAATGTGGACGAACGCATATGATGGTGGATATTGATATGGACACATGACGACCAACTTGGCAGAGGCAATCAATTCAACTTTAAAGGGTGCACGTCACTTACCAGTAGCGGCTTCGATAAAGACTACATATTTTCGTTTGGGGGCGTTTTTTCCGAAGCTCAGGGGACAAGCTCAAACCTGGATGCAAGGCGGGCATGTCTATCACCCTAGATTAGTTGTAGATCTACAGAAAAAATTGCTGCATCAAATGGAATGTCTGTAACAAGCTTCTTTAGAAGGCATGAAATGTTTCGTGTCACAGAGTTACCGCGACCTCTTCAAGGGATTGAAGCTGTATCGTTAAGAGTAAATCTAAGGGACAGAACGTGCGACTGCTGGTTTTTTCAAGCTCTGAAGTATCAATGCTCTCATGTGATAGCAGCTTGCTCGCATACACGTCAAAATTATAACCATTTTGTGGATCCCATATACCTACTATCTGAAGTTTTTAAGGTATACGAATTTGAGTTTCCCTCATAGGTAATGACAAAGACCTTGATGAGGTTCAAGATTGGCTTCCGATTATACCAAATCCGAGTTTATTGAGGGAGTGTGGTCGTCCAAAATCCAATCGAATTCATTGTGATATGGATATTCGAGAAAGATCTAGACAAGACAGAAGATGTGAGCATTGTAGAAACCCATGACACACTAGAAAAACATGTCCACTTCTGTTGCTATCAAGTAACAATTAATGAGGAAATGATGTATTTGTTTATCAAATAATAATTATTGTACTTTGATTTGCATTTACTTCAAGTTAATGTCATTCGATAATCGCTGATAAAGATTAAAAAAGCGAACACAATCATTAAATTTTATCAAACTAATAATAATTTGGTATTTAAATATAATTTTAAATACAACAAACTTACAATAAGAATTAAATGATAAATGATAACCAAATTACAATAATTGATATTAAATGGTAATAAACAAAATCAACTGAAATACATTAAAAAAGTCCAACAAATTTAACAAAATAAAGTAAATACAAATATAATAAAAAAAATCTATCGATGCCTACGACGCGAACCAGTTTTCGCAGGCCGATGTCGATCCTCCCACAACACGACCCACTAATGATGCCTCACCAGCCAATATGTATCTGTCTTGCCGCGTCTATCTAAGCTATGCAACTCGTCCATATTGCGAGGTGCTTCCGGAATTGGTTGAAAACAACCAAACTGCCGGAGCACGCGATCAGTAGAGTGCCACTCGACAGTCGCATAACAGATCAGATGGACCATCGCCATCCAAACATCTGATGGGCCCCTCAACTCAGGTGAGATCACCGCCTTCACATCATCGGTACAATATGGCACCCATTCAAACTAAAACAAATATTATATAGTTTTTTTATCAAAATAATAATCTAATTATATAACTATAATCTAAAATCGATTTTTAAACATTAAAATTCATACTTGTATGCCAGCCTTCTGATCGATTAACACCCTAATTTTTTCTAAATCATCAGGTAGCTCCTGATGATTTTTCCTATCAGTAGACCACCTATTCAAGGGAAAAAAATTATTATACGCTGTATAAAATTATTAATATACAAAATCAGTTTTATAATTACCTCAGAAGTAGTGGAAATACGAATGGGTTCTTCACAACGGGACATAAAAGGGCAATCGATATCATGCCCAAGACAGCAGCAGCAGGAGACATCCGCCGATAGCATTACGCATGTAGTTAGTGGCTCCACACATCTCCCTGTACAGCAAAGCCAAAACTGCCGAGCCCCAACTGAATGATCCGGCCAGACGAAAGTCGCTAAGATGTCGCAACCACATGCAGTGAACTAGGTTGCGCGATTTGTCCGGCATCAGCAACCCTCCTATCAACTGCAGTATGCATGCCCGTGCATACATCTTAACTTCATCCTCAGAGACGTCTGCGCTCAACTCCCGAAAATTGGCATCTAACCAATTTAACGGTATCCTACCTTCGATAAAACTTTCCGGGACACGTCCTAGATTATCCCGGCACAAAGTAGTCCAGGAACCCTGCGAGATCCCTGATATCACATCTCCATCCACCGGAAGCCATAGATGCATAGCAACATCCTCAATTGTAATCGTGTACTCTCCGCACGGAAGATAGAATGTGTGGGTCTCCGACCTCCACCGCTCTACTAAGGCAGAAATAAGGTCTGGTTCTATCTTACAGTGACCCTGATATCTACCTATGTAACCAAATCCAGCCTCTACTAAATACGGCAAGAAACGGCTAGGTATCACGAACTTAAGATTCCTAATAAAAGGATCTAATACACGGTCATTCTCCTAAAATTAAATAATTACACAAATTAATTCTTAATCTAATAATCATGCATTAAATAAATCAACAAATTATTACAAATAATTTAAATTAAATTAAAACGTTAAAATGTTACCGTATCAGCAAAGTGTCGAGATATATGATTTTCATCCAAGCGAAGTAGACCGCCTTCCATTATATATCTGCAAAAAAATTATATTAGTAAAATATTAAATAAAGAAAAATGCTTAAATAAATTAAATACATAATATTAAAAATATTATAAAATATACCTTAAATAGAGAGAGTATTTGAGAGAATTTGAGAGAATATAGTGTGATGAAAGTAATAGAGGATTGGGGTATTTATATGGAGGATGGGGGTAATTAAAGGTATAGCACCCCCTGTACCGCGCTATACCCCACGTGTAAGATAAACAGCTATAGCGCGAATCAGGGGTCGTGCTATACCCACGTGTAAGTCATGTCAACGTATAGCACGGTACAGGGGGTGCGCTATACCCCACGTGGCACCAAATTAGAATATAGCGCGGGGCAGGGAGCGCGCTTTACTACTACGGGTGTTAGATCGAGAAATATAATCTGACCGGTGTTAGATCGGGAAATATAATCTGACCGGTGTTAGATCGATAAATATACCGATCACCGATGATTTTTGGAGAAAAATGCCTAGTATTTTACCAAATTTAGAGGGAAGAGTCTTACCTAATTATGGGAAATACTTGCAATCCAAAAACAAAATTTAAAAATGCTTTATAATTTTCTTATCGTATTAAAAAGTCGATAACTTTTTAAGTATCGGCAGTGGAAGCAAAGCCCTTCACTCCATAATTCTCAGTTTATATTTCGACTTCACAGCTTTTGTGAATACAATTCTGATTTGGATTTGTCCTTTGACTTTGAGAAAAGAAACACTGCTTTGCAAGTAAACTTTGTGCAATTATTTTAGAGTACTTTAGTTTTATTATTATATCAATAAATCTCATAATGAGAGATTGAAGCCGACAAAGAGACGTTGGATTAGAAAGGCCTTGGAAGCATGTGTGGGCTTTCCTCATGGTCTCTTCTCTAATATAACACGCCCTGGTCGATTTCCTTTCGTTTTTAATATGCTTTTTTCTTATTTATTTAACAATTCAAGATCAACCCATATTGCTTTGTTTTCTAAAAGAAGTGATTTTTGGTGTTTCTTCTTAACTTTTGCATATTTATATCTATATATTTGATTGGTTCTTGTATTTCTTTTCAGAAAATTTTCATTGTCAGGTGTACAATTTTTTCTCTTAAAGGGAACAGGGCTATTGCTTTTTGTTTTCCTTAGTTAAAACTCAATGATTTGAGAGTGGTATAAAAACAAAAAACTGATATACAAATAGATAAATAGATAGATAAATATTGTTAATGGAAGAAGGGAAAGCCAATAGCAAGTTCAAAAGATTATGTGTTTTCTGTGGAAGCAACTTTGGCCACAGAAAAATCTTCAGCGAGGCTGCTCTTGAATTGGGCAATGAACTGGTTTGCCTTTTCCCCCCTTTTTAGCTTCAGTACCATCTCTATACACATCATTTTGAAACAAAAAAGAAAAAGTTTGTGTTGTTGGTCTCAAAAAGATGAATTTCTCAGTTTTTACGATGGGTCAGTGTTTGTTGTATTTTGGATATGTGTGCTAGTTTATAGAGAGAGAGATGAGATATTTTTGCTGACTTTTTTACTTTTTTTGTGATTCTTTGATGGTGGAGTTGTTGGTGTTTCATATACTTAATTGGAGTTGTTTCTGTTTGGTGTATCAGTCACAACTCTGTTGACCATCAACATAGTTTGTGTGTGTGTGTGTGTGTTTTTCTGCTGAATGTGTATTGCTCCTTTTTGACCATACCCGAATAATATCCGTGAGTTGAAATATTAGGTGCTTGATGCAAGTGAGGTGTTTGACAAAATGGTTCTTTTTTCTAGTTTTTCATTAGTTTGACATCTAAGTCTACCATGTCTAAATTGTTTGCCTTTATTAATTAATTTGACTTGTGTTTTTGCTTATGTTTGAGTGTTGATTTGCAGGTAAAGAGGAAAATAGACTTGGTGTATGGTGGGGGAAGTGTTGGGTTGATGGGTTTGATATCCCAGACTGTCTATGATGGAGGGTGTCGTGTTCTTGGGTAAGTGAGCAACTTGCCTGGTTCTGAATTTTTCAAAGAGCCTATTTTAAGTATTTTTCTCTGCAGAAACTGTTACAAGTTGCACACAAGCAGCTTCCTCGTTCGCAATTTGTTTATTGCCAAGTAAATAATTGTTCCTTACATGCAGGATAATTCCAAAAGCTCTCATGCCCCTTGAGGTATATTTACTTGCAAGTTGCAACCTTATATTAACTATTGTTTTCTGAATTCTGGGTCCAGGTGACCTGTTTAAATCATTTCAATTGGTCTTTCTTTGAAGTTTTTAGTTGAAGGTTTTTATGCTTTCCTGCATTCACCAGCTGAAGGTTTTATCTAGTTTTATCATTCAACTCACTGTATTCGGTACATTTCTATTCAATTGTATTTGGTAAAAGAATTTGCTGGAAAATCCTGGATGATATTGTTCATTAGTGCATAATCCTGGATAATATTAGGCTGATGATCATTCATGCATAATCGTGGATAATATTGACAGATATCAGGAGAAACAGTTGGAGAAGTAAGAACTGTTTTCGACATGCACGAACGCAAGGCTGAAATGGCCCGAGAAGCCGATGGATTTATTGCTCTTCCTGGTAAAAATACATCTTGACATTTTTCATCATTACTTAAGAACAAAAGGGGAAATTTTTGTGAAAGGGTCCTGTTATTTATTAATAGGTAAAAAGAAAGAAGACTTCTAACCTTAACATTTGATGTTTTAGGTGGATATGGAACAATGGAAGAGTTGCTGGAAATGATAACATGGTCCCAACTTGGAATTCACAAGAAAACAGTAAGGCATCATTCATCAAGCTAGAAGAATTATGCTAGCTATGTGAATGGTTATTAATCTTGCAGTGTGCATACTCTTATTGCAGGTTGGTTTGCTTAATGTTGATGGTTACTACAATAATTTGCTTGCTTTATTTGACAACGGCGTTGAAGAGGGCTTCATCAAGCCAGGTGCTAGGCATATAATTGTCTCTGCTCCAACAGCCAAAGAACTTTTAGAGAAGATGGAGGTATTTTAGCCAAATCCTTTTTCGGTCACACTGTTATTAGTTGGCCTTTTTTTGTCCCGGAAAGAATATAATTCACTTAAAGAAATTACAATAGATCATTAATAGAAAAGGCTAGTTTTCCTTTTTCTGTCTGTATGTGCTTTCTCTGTACAATAACATTAGAGGGAACTTGCTTTCCCTCAGGATTTTACTGTTAAAAGGCATCTAAATGCAGGCTCTTAGTAGACATTATTATTCATTCATTACAATTATCTAAAACTTTATAGTAAATTTGGCAGCAATATACACCTTCCCATGAACATGTGGCTCCTCATGAAAGCTGGCAGATGGAGCAACTTGGTGATTATCCCAAGCAAATACATGCATAATGAAGCATTGATGGTAGGTTCCCCATTTGTAATTCCTGGTGTGATTCATCATCATTGAGTTGTGTACGACAATCTATTTGGATAGTCCAAGTATTGGTCGTTTACCGTGTACTTTTTATCACCCATAATAAAGGGATTTGATCCGATTAAAATCATCTTGGCTGTTTTACAGACATTCACTGGTTTATGGCCAAACTGCTATAGATCTTTTAGTCATATTGAAGACAAAAGTACCTTTGCAATGCAAAAAGTTTATTGCAGAATCATTTAAGTTGTCCCCACCATGCAAATGCTTTGAGTGGATAAGGTGCATGAGTTGGGGACATATTCTGGATTTAGCAGCTGAGTTATAGAATCTCAAGCCACTAAATCAGGTTTAACTATAGAAACTGCCCAGCTTGTCTTGGTGATGAAGATGCTTTGAAATCATATTTCCACTTGCTAGAAATAATCCTTAAAGATGTCGAATCCCAACATAGTCCAAAATATGAGGAACAGTGGGTAATCTGTAACTTTTCAGAAACATGTACCATGACAAGCTTGGCCTGTCTTGAAGATGTCGAATTCCTCTCACATGGACTTCCCAAGGGATAAGCCACTAAAGGTCCTAATGCCTGTCGGCAGCAGGCATCATTATAATTTAATTTTCTGCTTCATTTCTTTTATTAGTATTGCACTACTACAACACTTTTTCAAAAAATAGGAAAAAACGAACAGAACAGGCCTATGCCCATGGTTAGTCGGGCCACTTCATTGAGGGAGTAGCCCCATCACTGCCCGGTCTGTTTATCGAAATTGGGGGGTTGTCTTTCCTTGCCGAACATTCACTTCATTAGTTGTTTGCTGCAATAACCCACCCAAAAGCTATCAACTATTGAACAGACATGTTCAGGAGTGATTGAAGAGGTTTATCCCCACCATTATTTCTGCCAAATAAGGACTACCCTCCAGCTCCTTTCCCTTTGGTTATCACTGTTCATTCTGAAAATGACTATGGGGACCAGTCCTTTCATTACAACCTTTTTTCAACTCGAGAATGAGGCTTTGTTTTCCTAACCAGACATCATCCTTTTCATCATTGTCCTCTCATTCTGACTTCCGAGCTGAGTGTTTCATAAATATATTCCCTTCTTTAAAAGAAAAGGAAGAACTATTGGTTTTTAAGACAGCAAAATGATGCTTTTACTTCCAGAATTTGGCATTTTATTCTTTTTGTTGTATCCTTACAAGTAGCAAACTAGAAAGCGTTTTCTTTGTATGAAGAAAGCTGTAAAACCCCCGATTAAGGATGTGATTGTTGAAGACGAGTACGTATCCACATGTATCCCCTGATTAAGGGTGTAAATATTGGACAGAGATACTTTTAAGTAAAATGAAGAGTTCGAATAGCATAGAATTAAGCTAAATCTTGTACTTGGGGAGGCCTTGATACTAAACTAATGATGAAACAGAACAGTAAATGCTGCCACTTGTTTAGCAATCAAGTCAACAAAGTAGAATATTTACTGTTGTCTTGTCTCCAGAGTTTGCAATGGTAGGTGGTGAAATAGAGAATAGTCACCAATTGCCCGGGGTGTGTAATACTGTATATCTGTAGCAAACTCAATGACTTTTACGAAGGTCATGTTCGGGGAAGGGCGGAATAATTTGGTTCCTAACAGTTACCAAATAGAAGAAAAAAAGAGAGCAAAAAATGCTATGATTGCTCACTGTTTCCACTCATCCAATCATACAAATTCATCGAATAATGGTTTCAAAGAGCGAGTGGAAGCGACAAGTGAAAAATGAACAAACACTCCATGTTTATGTACTCTTTACGGTTCCATAGCTGTTTAGGAGCATATCAGGATTTAAACAGCATTGTTGTTACGGTGTTATTTCGTGATTTCAGTCATATTTACAGATTGGGAGTGGGCCCGGCAAGAAAAATAGCCAAGTTTAACCGCATAGCGACTCAAATACCTGGCAGGATTTCTCAGTTCGGAGAAATCCCATATTTGATGCCATCCTGCAAACGGATGAAATCCCATTTTTATGGTAACGATCTTGAATTAAAGGGGTAAAATATCCATCATGGGATATAATTATGAACCATGAACAGCCAGAATATGATTTACAAGAAAAATACCCTGATCCTAAGCCTTACTACATTTTCTTCAATAACCTCATAACTCTTATCTGCAACTTTCAGAAACGACAGTGAAAGAAAAAGACAACCCACTATGTCACTCCTTTAATGCAGGTCCAAAACTAGCACTGGTTGAGTTCTACAAGTCAAATTCAGAGATTTATTGCATTAAAAAATATGGAAATGTTGATTTGAAAATTTATTCAGTAATTTAAATTTAATTAATTATTAAAGTTCTCTTAAGTGTTAAATTTTTTAATGAAGTCATACTGTGATGAGAGTAAAATATTTTGTTAAATCCAAAGTTGTCACTAACTGCTGGAGATATTGCCAGCAACTTTAGTTTTATTGTACTAATTTTTTTTTTCCTGCAGTATAATGACCAAATTAAAAGAAATTAAAACACCTCAACAATTCAACTTTTGGCCTTACCTCATTGACCGCTTCTAACACAAACTAATTTCTGGTACCCTCAAATCCACTACTTAATAGACCTATAAGGTATCACCTACAGATGGCCTTAAGTTTGGGTCGCTTTTAATCATCTAAATAAAAACCATTGAAGTCTCAGACAAATAAGAAATTATGATGCATGACGGGAACTTCAACTTTCATGAAACCTTTTCCAGTTATTAATTGCAGGAAGAGGAACTGCATTGGGAATAAATAAGGCAAGGCACCTGATCTGCATTTTCTAGCTAAGAAGCTTATAGACAGTTAGACCTGGAGACCAAGTTAGACTCCTTCATTGCTTAGTAGCATCCATGGTCAAATTGATTCAAAAACAAAATGGAAACAGAAACTATACAGTAGATTCACAAATATGCTAGACTCGCAATACCAGAAGCAGGGGTCAAAGGATGGGATCAAACATCATCTGCAATCTCTTCTCCTTGTCCCCTTTCCCAGTCAAAATCCTAAACTTGGCAGTAGGTTTATTGTCCACAACAATCAAACGCATCAGATGCTTACTCCAAAGATAATACAATATGCAGATGACATAAGCTCCTTCCTTCCCAAGTGAATAGATCAATTACCGAATTGAACCCATTTCTCAACAAACTAATGAAACGATAAATTATTGAATAAGATTACACCTAGAAAAGAATTTCCAGGTCCCTGCATTACATTCAAGCTAGTCAAGGTGTGTGCTTATCTTTGACCCACCTAGATCTTGAATATACCCGCATCAACAACTTTATATAAAATCTTCCTTTTAAGGAAGAAATGGAAACTCCCCCCCCCCCCCACAAACAAGAAAAACAATTAAAAAAAAAGGCATCAAGGAACAAGAGGTAAACTGCCAGAATCACCACCATCCATAGACAACTTGTGTGTACTTATCTTTGAGCCACCTAAAGCTCCTCCTCAAGGACCCTTTGACCTTACCTTCCACACTGTACATCTTGTAGCTAGCAACCCTTTTCTTCCTCTGGAATTCAGGGTATCCAAAGATCCATGCATTCGAAGAAGATGAGCCAGAAGCAGTCGTCCCTTTCTTCGACTTGTAGCCTCTGTTGTTCCCTGAGTTATTGTAGTTGTTAGCCATCTGGGACTGTGCATAAGCAGCACTATAGCACCTGAAATCATAAGAAGCTGAAGGCCTAGGTGGTCCATGGTGGGTGTCCAACTCCATCCCATTACCATATGACCTTGATCTGTTGTAATCTTCCATTGAATTCTTGAAAGAGACGCAGGAGAGAGAGATTCCTGAAGGAAGGGATGGTGGCCTAGTTGATGGATGGATTGTTTTGGTTGTCGAATTTCTTTTGATCTTGACAGGTAAGGGAAGACACGAGAATGATTTTTAAAAAAAAGCTATGAAGGTGATAAAATACTTGGTACTTTGGATTAATTTAAGGGTTGCATTTGCTACTTTTTTTTTTCATTTTCCGATCCCGTGACTGACTTTGGGAGACATGGGAATTGATTCTATATTTGGCGTGTTTAACGGGGAATCATGTTGTCCAATGCCTACTGCAATTATTTATATTCTCCTCGTTCTTGGTACAATACATTTGCATTGACCAGTCATACCCTGTGAAACAAAACTAACTTTTTGGGTTACCTACGAGTTGAAAAATTGTAAGTGTTGAAACATTTATTTGCTGCACTTCAATTAACTTGCCCGTGCCCTTCAAAAATCAAAACCAGTTCACTATTCCAACTCATATACCCTTTGAAGCAGTCCAACAACTCGTATGCGTATGGGTCCTCAAAATGCTTTATTTGATTTTGGAATTGCTTTCTGATATTAAATGAACCCAATGGTTAAGCAAACAAACGAGGATCACTAACTGTAAAATGGCAGCACCTTTTTTAAGGGGAAATTAAAGTTTAAGGTATAGCAGCATCTTTTTCATACTGCATCTTGCCCTACTGATAGTGGTGGGCTGCATCAGGGACCACGCTCCACAAAAGTTTCTAAATGCACGACCAAGAAACAGTCCACCCAATTCTTAAACAATCATGCCATTGAAATAGAAAGACAAGGGGAATAAATAAACTTACCAAAAGGCAAGTCCAATAATCTAAATTCCCACTCTACATTTTATTCTCTTTACATAGACTGGAGATGAAAAAGTTAAATACATGGATAAAACATGATTTTGGACAAAACTAGAACAATACTACATACTTGTCGATGGCACACACACCACATCAGAATTTGAACATCGGGTTTCTTAAATTGTAATGGGAGCTCATCTAAATGTTTGGGACCGAAAATCACACCCGGTTGCAAGGACACCGGACCTCCAAAACTTTGACATTTCCATGGAGCCATTTACCAAGAGCCCGAAACAGAATCAAATTAGATCAGCAACATTTGATGGCAGCTCCTCAGTTACAACATTATAAAACTTCTGGATGTCAAACAGCATCCTTTCATCATCCATGGTCACAAAGTTGATGGCAACACCTTTTCTCCCAAATCTTCCACTACGACTAATTCGATGAAGGTAGTTCTCTGTTTGTGCTGGGAGATCATAATTGATCACAAGAGAGACTTGCTGAACATCAATTCCACGAGCCAAATGATCAGTGGTGATAAGCACACGAGAGGATCCAGATCGGAATTCCCGCATGATAATGTCCCTTGTATTTTGGTCCATATCTCCATGGGTGGCAGACACTGTATGGTCATGACTACGCATCTTGTCTGTGAGCCAATCCAACTTCCATCTGGTGTTCACAAAATGACACTTTGGGTGATTGCTAAGGTCTCGTAGAGATCACAAAGCGTCTCAAGCTTCCATTCCTCCTCCTCAACATTGACATAAAATTGCTTGATACCCTCAAGTCTAAGCTCATCACGCTTCACCAGAATCCTCACAGGTTTGTTCATGAACTTCCTTGTGATCTCAAGGGCTTCAGGAGGCATTGTAGCAGAGAAAACGCTTACTTGAATTTTTGGTGGCAGCAACTGGAAAATATCATAAATCTGGCACATGCAAACAGCAGAGGTCAATGAAACAACAAATGAAGAAACAGATATCATAGCAAAAGCTCAAAATTAGCTTCACAAGTCACAAATAGGGCCATCGTCTTCTAGGCAAAGCACAACAAATAATACATACAGCTTCTAAATGAAAAAAGGACCTGATCCTTGAAACCTCTTGAGAACATTTCATCAACTTCATCCAACACAAACATCTTTATGTGATCAGGGCGGAGAGACTGTCTCCTCAACATGTCAAACACACGGCCAGGTGTACCAACAACCACTTGAACCCCACTGGAGAGGATCTGTTGACCTTCACGGACACTGGTCCCACCTACACAAGCATGAACCTTGACACCTAGGTAATCACCTAATGCCCTCATGACCTTCTCAATTTGTTGCACTAATTCTCGGGTTGGTGCAAGGACCAATGCTTGACACTGAACTAAACTGTAGTCAAGCTGCTGTAGAATTCCTGAGCAGAAAGTTGCAGTTTTTCCTGTACCGGACTGCGCTTGTTGAATTACATCAAGTCCCTTGCAGAACGGTACAATCCCCCGTTGTTGAATTGCAGATGGCTTCTCAAAACCTTCACAGAAAATTTTGACTTAGCAAGCAGCTTTACCACTATCCATGTAAAGCGATCAGTTTTTGAATGACACAGAGATATGAAGCTCTCACTAGTGCTTGAAAGCACAGATTTTCACTATGGAAATCACAAGATCTCAACATACATACATATAAGTTGAACCCTAAATTGGTTACAAGATGATTAAAATTGAATCCTAAACCCTGTAAGGCCCAATAAGTTTTTACAGTGCTGCTTCACATGGCAAAGCATAATAGTACAATACTCTGCACACTTCAAGGTTTCTTTACAAACAAAGTCCTTGAAATAAATCAAACTTACCATAAGCATAAATGCCCCTAAGAAGATTTTCTTGCAATCCCATAGCATCAAAAGTGTCATAAACCTCATCATATGAGGTGAAGAAATCTTGCCCCTCAGCGTCAAGTCTGCTCACATCAATTTACCAAACAAAGCCTTAGAATCCATTCAATAAATTCAGAAGGTTAGCAAACTACAAGTGCACCAGTTAAATATCAAACAAACCATGAAGAAACATAAAAACTTAATTAATCACCAATGAACCTGAAAGCTAAATGCCTAGAAACAGAGCAAAGAAAAGTAAACTTACTCATTCATTTTATTTTTTTGGATAATTCAAATATTATTACCCAATGAATCAGAGTTCAACAAACCAATCACCAACAAAAGCCTATATACATCTATACAAAAAGAAATGATCGGTTAGATAATACCCCAAGAATTACACAGGGTGAAGTTAGCACTTTCAATTCTATTAATATTTTTTCCTCTTAATTGTATTCCTACGACTTCCTTTATGACTTTAAGAAGATCTTCTGGTGATCGAGTACGACCTTGGAACATTCTTCGATTCCTTTCCTCCCAAAGAGTGTAGATAAGAGCACACCTTGCTAGCTTCAATATTGTGGTGAGAAGAGATTTTCCTTTCCATACCTCGCAAGCCCACGTTTCCATGTCACCCCATGATGCTACAGAGTTGCTCAACCCATTCAGGTTCAATATCGCGTCCCATAAGAAAGCAGAAGTCGAACAGTGGAAGAACAAATGGTCCCTTGTTTCTAAAGCATTGTTGCATAGAACACAATTTCCTTCAGTGGTGATGCCCATTCGTTGAAGTCTTACTCTTGTTGGAAGTCTATCCAAGTGAGTCATCCACGCTATCAAGCTGTGTTTCGGAATGTGTTGTGGAAACCAGACTAGTTTCTACCAAGAAACCTTTTCCCCCTTCTTCCGAACCTCTTCCCATGTGTCTCGGATCTGAGTAATACCGGCTGAAATGATAGGTTGCGCTTCAACCCTTAATTTTAGCAGTCTATTGAAGCACCAACTTGCATTTGAGCGTGTCTGTAGATGCCAAAAATTAGTTCCCTTCATAACATTAAGCCATGCAACCCAAAGAGAACCTTCGCCCAAGAGAATTTTTCTAATGAGTTGGACGAGACAAGCTTTGTTCCATGATTTTATATTCTTCAATCCAAGACCTTCTGATTTTGAAAGACATATTTTATCCCAGCTTATCCTTGCTCCCGAAGCGGCTTTATCGTCACCTTTCCAGAAGAAGCGGGAACAGAGCTGATCAATTTTGTTTAATATGGATTGGGGTAGTACAAATTGTCTACACCAGTAATTCGCAACACTAAATAGAACTGATCGGATGAGTTCCACTCTGCCGGTATAGCTTAATTTCTTTCTTGCCCAATGATGAAGCCTACCTTTGATTTTCTCAATAAGAATAACACAGTCTTTTTCGGTTAGCTTTCGAGTAATAAGTGGAACTCCCAAGTATCTCACAGGCAAGGTACCTAGGTTGAATCCAGAAATCTACTTGATAGTATCTAAAGTTCGAGTAGAAATTCCAGCAGCAAAAAATTCCGTTTTAGAAGCATTAAGCTTTAGCCCAGACATTTCATGAAATGTATCAAGGACACTAATGATACCAACAATAGATTCAACATTTCCTTTGCAAAAAAATCAACAAATCATCAGCAAAGGATAAGTGAGTAAGACAAATCTTCTTGCATTTAGGATGGAAGCCAAAAATACCTCGTGTTGCTGCCAAATTAAGCAATCTGGAAAGCACGTTCATAGAGAGAACAAATAAGAAGGGTGAAAGAGGGTCACCCTGTCTTATTCCTCTAGCTCCCTTTTTTTTATAAGAATTTAAGGCCTCGTTAAAAGCCCCCCTCTTGATTAATGGAGCTTATAAGTAATCTCCTTAATCAGCGGAAGGGAGAAAAGAGTGCCTTAGGATTTTATTGAGCCATACAATTACATAAGGTACAACCATTAATACACCCCTACAAAACCAAATAAGCTCTAAACAGCAAAAAACATCCAATCCAAAAAAACACAGAATCATCCAATTCTTGCTTTAGCTAAGGCATCAGCCTCTAAGTTTGTTGTCCTATTAACCCATCTAACAACACCTTCTAAAACGTTAAGCATGTGAACAATATCTCTAATCAAGAAAGCATAAACATCAGGAACTAAATCCACTTCCTTAATCTAGTCTACAGCCACCTTACTGTCGCTTTCGATAATGAGACGACCCTTCCTCTCTCGTAAATTCGCATAGAACATTAAACCCTTCTGAATAGCTTTTAATTCCATATAAGTTGGAGGACTCGGACCAGCAGATTCTTTGAAAGAACTTACAGTCAGACCCGAGGAGTCCTTTAACACACCACCTATCCCACTCTTCTTCCAATCTCTTGTAGTAGCAGCATCCACATTTAACTTTACAAAACCTTTAGGAGGAGGAGACCAAGGCAATATAGTTACAAGTTGATTAGAATTGAGAGAGCACAAATCCCCTAAAGAGGGATCTGAAATAAGAGAATCCTTAGGAATAGAAACCTCTTTGTACTTAGCAAGGAACCAAGAAGCTAGTCTAAACCTTGCTAAGAAAAAATACTCAGCCAAATCTAACTTTCCCCCTT